CTGACTGGTATTATGAAGAAAGAGGGAGGGAGGGAAAGACAGAGTGTGCAACCTCCTCAATGGGGGGCATGTGATTGTGCTGCTATCCTTTTTCTTCCATCTCCATCTTGACGGAATTTTATGCATGCACACACATGTCTGGCATGTTTTCCTAGCCTTGGGAGCAGGATTTAAACCACAGACAAGCATGTGGAATCTGGCTCCCTCCACACAGTACTTAACCTCTGTGCTATGGGACTGATCTACTTGTGTCAGTTTTGACAGATTGTGTCTTTCAAGGAATTGGTCTGTTTCACCTAGATTATCAAATTTGGGAGTATAAATTTCTCTATAATATTATTTTATTATCCTTTTAATTTCCATGGCTCAGTAGCGATGGCCTTCTTTTATTTCAGATATTAATAATCTGTGTTTCTCTCTTTTTGTATACATCAGTCTGGCAAGAAGTTTACCAATTTTATGTTTTGGGGGGTTTTTTATTATTTTTTTTCCCAAAGAACTAGCTTTTGGTTTCACTGTTGGTTTTTTTGTTTGTTTGTTTTGTTTTCTCTATTTTCTTGTTTTCATTCATTGATTTGTATTTAATTTTTTTTTCTTCTTTTAAGATTTTTGCCCTAGGGTGCCTGTGCTCGTGGTGGTGGTGGTGGTGGTGGTGGTAGGGGAAACAGTGAGAGGGGAAATGAGAAATCACTCCCCAGGGGGATGGCCACACTGCAGTCCCTTCTCTTTCATTCTCTTCCTGGTGTTTTAGGTACACACGCACATTTTCTTTCTTTTTTAAATTATTTTATTTAACTTTATTTATTCATTCATTTATTTCAATTTGACCAGAGAGGGATGGAGAGAGAGAGCAAGCTGCCAGGTCTGGGACTTGAACTGTAGTCAGCCACATGGGAGTCCAGCACCCTTAATCACCAAGCCACCAGCCAGCTCCCCTGATGTGATTTTCAAGCTGCCAGGTCTAGGACTTGACCATGGTCAGCCATGTGGGAGTCCAGCATGTTAACCACCACACTATCTGCTGCCCCCATGTGTTTCAATTTTTATTACTTGTTTTTTGCTTGCTTTATGTTTATATTTCTCTTCTTTTTCTAATTTTCCTAAGGAGGGAGCTTAGATTATTGATTTTAGAGCTTTCTTCTATAATGTATTTATTCAATACTGTAAGTTTCCATCTAAGCACTTCATTTGCCACATTCCACAAACTTTTATATTATATTTTTATTTAGTTCAAACTATTTTTAAATTTCTCTTGAGATTTCTTCTCTAACCCATGTGTTATTTAGAAGTATGCTATTTTGTCTCCAAATACTTTGGAGTTTTTCCAGTTATCTTCTAGTCATTGATTTCTAGTTTAATTCCATTGTGGTCAGGGATCCTACTCGGTATGATTCCTGTTTTAAATTTCGGGAGGTGTGTTTTATGGCCCATAATGCGGTCTACCTTGGTGAATGTTCCATGTGAGCTTAAAAAGAATGTGTTCGTTCTGTTAAATGAAGTATTAAATAAATATCCGTTATATCCAGCTGATTGATGGTACTGTTCGACTATGCATACTGATATAAAAATAAATAATAATAATAAAAATAAATATGTAATACTGCCATAAAGTCCTGGCAGGGGAAGAAAGCTGTATCAGAAACACTAAACAGGGACAAATAATCAGAAATACAAAATCTTAATTTTCAAATGCCAGGTTGACATGATTGGGTTGAGATTACACTTTCCCAGCCGGAATGCTATCCAGGTCATTATGTGTCCACTGAGTATCAAATCTGGGCACAAGGGGGTTCATTTTCCTCTCATTGGTAATGTAATTCTGGTTGTCTAGCGGAGGTGTTATCTGATTTTTACACTGTGTAGTAAATGCTTTTTCTGTTGTTACTCACTGGGAAACAATCTGTGGGGAAACACTCTCAGACTATGCAAATATCTTATTCCTCATCAACTTTGTACCCTAGATTCAGCATCTATTAATGATTTTTGCCCAAACCAGTCTTTACTGTGAATGTTGCAAATGAATCTTTAACTGTTTTGGTACTAAACTGTCCTACACTCACTTGGCCTACTAGCTCTTTCTTTTTACTTTTCACTTTTGCGTGTGTGTCTGTGTGTGTGTGGCGGGGAGAGGCTTTTGCTATAGGGTGTGTGTGCTTGCCAGATAGACAGGAAGCAAGAAATCATCCCCCAGGGAGATGGCACACCGCTATCCTTGCTATCCTTTCTCCTCCATTCTCCCCTCAGCATCTTGGGCACACATGCACACACACATACCCAGAGTGAGTTTTTCTCTCTTTTTTTTTTTTTTGAGAGAGTTTTTGCTATAGGGTGCAGGCGCTCACCAGACAGACAGAGACAGAGAGACAGAAAGCGAGAAATCACCCCCCAAGGGGGATGGCCCTGCTGCAATCCCTTCTCCTCCATTCTTTTCTCGGGATCTTGGGCACGCACACACGCACATGCACCTGGCATGAGTTTAAGCCACTGGGTCTGGGACGCAAACTGCAGTCAACTACGTGGGAGTCCAGCGACATAGCCATTATGCTAACTGCTGGTCCCACCCAGCATGAGTTTAAGCCACCAGGTCCGGGACTCAAACTGTGGTCAACTACATTGGGAATCCAGCAACATAGCCATTATGCCATCTGCTGGTCTCAGTGCTAGCTCTTTCAAGCTGGCTTTTGCGTGATATACCCTCTTGTTTGTTTGTTAGTTCATTAGCATAGAAATTTTTTTCTCTCTGTACAAGACATTAATTAGAATCATATTCCTGTAATTGGTTAAGTCAAAAGCTAGATTTTTTTGAGGAATTCTTGTTGAAATTCTTACCCTGTCACCTGTTTGGCATTAGTCCTACCTGCACATTATTTATCTGTACAGTATTGATACGGCGGAGACACCTTAGACTGCGTCCAGGGACTGGGGGTGGAAAGCCATTGAGGGCTATTCTTAGAGACTGGCAAAGCCTTTCAAGTCTGGTCACATGCTTGTGGTTACTAATCTGCCTCTGCACTCAGTCACTGTGAGCGACTCTAATCTTGTTTATCTAACATATTCCATCTCTGTAGTTTGCTTTCACTTCCATTGTATTTTCTCTTCATCACATTTGTTGTTTGGAAAATTGTCCCAAAAATGCTGTCCTTTTTCCAGTGACAGCTTTGGTCAGTTTTACTTTAGCCTGTATGTATGGTATAACTTTATGCCAGTTGTAGGTTGGCGTCCACTTTGTCATTTCATTGCTGATTCTACCTGTAGTAACATGTAGGAAGTAGTATATGACTCAGTGTTGTTCCCTGCACTCTGAAAATGAGTATGTTCTGATTATTCATGATCAAATATAAATGGAAAGAATCTTTCCATTGTGTGCCACTCAGTCAATTTTGAATCCCTGTCTGATTCCTCTGCTGTAATTACTGAGGAATTATCTAGTGGAAAATATATTAGTTCAATGACTAGAACAGCCCCATAGCCTAGTGGTTCAGGAGCCCCATCCTATATAACCAACCACAGTTCAAATTCCAGCCCCAGTAGCTTAACACATCAAGCATGTGTGCATGTATTTTCTTTCTCTTTCACTCATTAAATAAACTTTAATAATATATATAAATAAAATCTATTCAGACTGAGTCACATTACTGTAACTACTGTGAATTTCTTCCCAAAATGTTGACTCCACCTAAAAGGGGGAAAAAAGGAAACCATTGATCCTATGTACAAGGTGATGTGGATTTCTGGGATCGACGAGTCAGTTCCTGTCGGGGCACATACTTAGTTCTGCTCCATTTGAATCTGGGCTGTGCCTTCTAGACTCCACCCTCAAATGTTTTCAGGGATTTTTTTCCCCCTCTCAAATGTAACTCATGAAAAAGTAGGTAACAAGACTAAGGATAAACAAATACATACAGCATAACATTTCCAAACATAAAGTAACCCTTGTTTTTGTGTAAGATTAAACTTCTACAGGTTGAGCACAAAGGCCATTTTCATCTTCTATTTCAAGATGCACTTTCAGCAGCTTGCATAATCACAGCCGAGATGTGTCTTGGTCCTTTTTATGATTGAGGACTCAGTGGCTACTGCTGTGAGGCCGGCATTTAATCCCACGAACTGTGTGAAGGTCAGGCGGGCCCTTCTTGCCCACAGACTGAATAGGCTGCTTGACTGAGCCTCTGCACCACACTGTGGAGAAACCACAGGCAGGAGTGTGGCTCGTGCTGGAGGGTGTGCAGCTGGGCTGGGCCGGCAAGGCCAGAGCACCAGGTTCAAGCAGGTTAGCATCCACAAGCGTGTGCATACTAGCACACTCTTTGGTTTTGGAAGCACATTTGTCAGAGATCCACGTTATGTAAGGTTGTAGAAATAAAGTTTATGAAAGAGAACAGTATGAGAAAAAATGTGAAAGCCTTGCTTCTAGCCTGAACCACTCTGAATAATTTAAGCAAAATTATTTTTTAAGTAGATCTGACTAGCCAAGGATAGAATACTTGATTTTCAAATAATTGGAGTGGCTTTTGTTGTTTATGTTTCGTCTTCAACAAGGAATTAAATTGTTTATGGGTTGTTTTTTTTAAAAGAATTATTTTATTTAACTTTATTTATTTTAATCTGACCAGAGAGGGACAGAGTGAGGGAGAGGGAGAGAAGGAGGGAGGGAAAGAAGAAGGGAGGTGGAGAGAGAGAGACAAAGTGAGAAAGCAAGCAGCAGGTCCAGGACCCAAACCATGCTCGGCCATGTGGGAGTCCAGCACCCGGAACCAACCACACCACCTACCAACCCCTGCTTATGAGTTTTAAATAGATGTGACAGTAATTCCCAATATCTAAAATTACTAAATGACAGGAAATTACATATTAATGTAATTTTTTGATCATTTAAGACTCTTTTGAAATATTCTGTTTTGTTGTTCATGTTGAGTTTTAGGAGAAAGACATCAGCATCATTAAAGACAGAATGTTGTGTTAGCCCATTTTGTGCTGGTATAACAGAATATCACACTAGGTAATTTTTAAAGAATGAAGATTTATTTCTTACAGTTCTGGACATTGAGAAGTCTAAAACCAAGGGGCCCACATCTGGAGAGGCCTTTGTGCTTCATCATCCCATAGCGGAAGGCAGAAGGATGAGAAAGGGGCCAAGTTCAACCTTGTACAACCAATTCACTCCTCTATATTGGCCTTAATCCACTCGGGCGGGTGGTGCCCCCATGACCTAATCACCTCGTGCAGGTCTCACCTCTCAGCACCATTGCATCAGGGATTTAGTTTGCAGCAAATGGAGTACACAAATCTGGAGTACGCATTCAAACCCTAACCTGTGGGGCCCTTGCTAACTTAGTGGTTCAGACCATGAGTGCCCTCACTCTCTCACATCTCAAGTTATTCTGTTAGAGTTCCCTAGAATCTCATGGCACTAAGGGTCTGGGTTATATGCTTATAACCTCACAAAGTATAATGTTACAAGATTACATACTTAAAGGACATTCTCCTTCACCACCACCAGCCATGGCTAAATTGCTCAGAGCTACTTTATCTGGGTCACCATAGGAAGACCAGGGAAGTGGCATGTTACATTTGCATTCCAGAAAGATCCCTGACACCTGTGAGGAAGATGATCCAGAAGAGAACAAGCAGAGAGATGAGGGATGTTGGAATGAGGAAGGAGCATGGAGAACAGAATCTCCTAAGAGGTCCAACTAGCAGGATTCGAATGTTGCTGAGGGGCCAAGGAGGTTGACAGGGGAGTCCTTTCCCACCTCTGGTGGAACAGATCACTGGATAAACATGTCTTCATGTGTCATTCTCACATACCCTCTCAGGATCCTGGGCAGGAATAGGATTCCAGAGCTTGGGAATGGTTGACATGGTTGGTGTCCAAGGAGGCAGGATGAAGAGGGGGCAAGGATTTGCCCCAGAGGTGGCCCAGGTGATCCACTATACGCACAAGGGGATCAACGAGTCTTTGCAAGATGTCAACCCTTGTGACAGGCTGGTGGCAGCCAAGAGCTGGAATTAGAGGATGTGGGCTAGTCGGTGAGTTCGCTTTTGACATGTTGTCTATGAGGGACAGCCAAGTGGTGTGCCCAGGCTGAATTTCTGAGTCCGAAAATGAGGGGAAACTTGGGCTGCCACCTGAGAGTCAGGTCCTCAGATGTTTCTAGAGCAGGGCATGCTGGAGTCATTTGTCTCAAGGTGCAGTAACTGAGGCCATAGTTGGTTGTATTCTTTTTCTCTTTCCCCACATTCTACCACTGCCTGAATTTTAATTTGTCCTCATCTACAGCCTTTCAGTTTGCCACAAGAATTCCCCTTTATCTGGCCCCTGAACTGCAGGATAACCCGCCCAGCAGTTTGTCATTTGGTACAAAGGTTTGGTGGTAGAGGTGATCGTTCCAAATGATTCTGGATGTTTGTTCTGTTTCTTGGATATCAGACCCATTTGGTTCCTGTAGATAAATTAGAAGAGAGAGGGTCTTTTTCATCTTTATCAGAAAAAAGTGGTGGAGAGTTAGCACACTACCACCAACTACAAATGAGCTGCTTTGCAAGTCAAGTGATCTTACTGCCGCTTTCTGGAGCCAGGCTCCTTTGCCCTGGAACATTCTCTTCTGTCATGTGACTTACCCTTGTTTTAGAGAACTGGTGTAAACCCAGGAGATAGAGGAAGAGTGGAGTCTCTGCTACAGTTTCCCCTGGGTTAGTATTTTCCAGAATGATTCAAGAACTAATATGAGAAAAAGAAAATAGCCTTTGTCTCTCATGCCTGACAGATAATCAGATTACCCTTGGGATTAGATAAAAATAAATTGCCTGTTCCTATAGTTAGTTGCTATGATAAGTGAGGTAATCTTTTGTAAGAGAATTTCAACATGTATAGTATCCTCAGCTCGACTGGTGTGAAGTATACTCACGTTGGGTAAATTCACTTTACAAGCTAAGTGGTGAATAATGATTGAATATATAAAATATTTTTTAAAGAGATTAATTTATTTATCAATTTATTTTTAAAATCCAATTATAATACAAGAAAAAAGAATTTCAAAATTAGATCAGATATATCAAATTCATCATAGGAAACAGGTAAATATAGAAGGAACACTGGATTTGAAGACAGAGTTGGTATTCTTTTGATTAACAATGTCATGGAATAAGTTTGCTGTGAACTCTGTCCCTCTGGAACCCACCACAGTGGTCCAGTTCGTACTCCTAATGTGTTTCAAGGTGTGAAGCCCAAAGACCCTTTCAGCAGTGTTCTGTGTTTTCCTCCACTATTTCACCTTCCCAAATATCTTTTTTTTTTTTTAAGATTTTTGCAGGACTAGCAGATTACATAGTGGTTACTTTGCTGGACTCCCACATAGTCAACCGTGGTTCAAGTCCCAGGCCCAGTGGCTTAAAACTCATGCTGGGCATGTGTGCATGCATGACCAAGATCACCAGAGGAGAATGGAGAAAGGCTTGTGGTGTGGCCATCCCCCTGGGGGGGTGAATTTTGCTTTCTGCCTCTCTCTGTGTGTCTCTGTCTCTGTCTCCAGCAAGCGCATGTGCCCTATAGCAAAAATCTTTCTGTTATAGGGCACATGTGCTCTCCAGAAAGACAGAAACAGAAAGCAAAAATTCATCCCCCTGAGGAAATGGCCACAACACAATCCTTCTCCTCTGGGGATCTTGGGGCACACACGCACACATGCCCAGTGTAAGTTTTAAGCTGCTAACCCAGGACTTGACCCACAGTCAACTACATGGAAGTCTAACAATGTAACCATTACACTGTCCGCTGGTCCCTCACCTTCTCAAATATCTTTACACAACTCTGCAATGTCTTTGTTCCCTAACATATTTGGTTTTGTTCACAGGCCATGTCCTCATAGAGATTTCAAGCACCCACAAGAAACTCAACGAAAGTCTTGATGAAAATGTATGTGAATTATTTTCATATTTACACTATTGTATTTCATTTATTTTGCTTAAAGTCTCAAACCTGGTGTGATTTTTCATTTTCTTTTGTTAACAGTTCAAAAGATTCCATAAAGAGATTATACATGAACTGGAGAAAAAGACAGAGCTTGATGTAAAATATATGAACGTGAGTGCCTGATTTTCCTCTAACTCCAGCCCCAGGGTACCTGATCTCTCAGTGACACTTTCCCCCAGTGTTTATAGGACAGCAACAAATACAAGTTGCTGTAGCGGAGCTTGGTGTTGATCTATACTTAAATGCTTAAAACTGACAAGCTTTTTCTGGGCTGAGTGGGCTCGTTTTTGCTAACACTTAGAATCCTTCTTAAAAAGCATAGAAAAAAATATTGCAAGAAATCACACTGCTTTTAGAAAGCATTGTTTTCAGAGAACATGCATATGTGCTGGGACATCTGCGTCTGTGTTACAACAGCTGTTACCTTCATAAACCAGCACTTCCGGATGTGAGTCATGCATGGGAGAACACATTCTGGGCTCAGGGGCGCTCCCAGGTCCACTCTGCAGAGATCTCTCCTACATGGTGTCTGGCCTGTTGACTAGGGTTATCTGTTCCAGCAGCTTTGTTTAGGTCCTTCAGTCTAGCCCTCCAGCCCCAGTACAGAGAGCTCTTACCATCTTCCCTGTCTGTTGTCAAGTACTTCATTTTCTTTTCCATCCAGAGTCCTCTTTCTCCTTATCAAGACCCCCTTGAGGCAGTAAGTAGTGCAGGTTACCCTGAAATCCTCTCCTCCCTCATGCACATGGTCCCATGAGGCCTTCTGCCCGCACCCACATGTGTTCTGTGCACTCCTGGTGGAAGACCACAGGACCATGTACAACTGCTGAGGTGTATTTAATGCCATAAGCATTATGTATATTTTCTGATTTTTTCATCCCTACTTAAACTCTATAACATAGATGCCATTATTTTATTTTATTGCCAGACGGCTCATGTGCTCACCAGAGAGAAAGAGTACCCCCCAGTGGGTCATGGTCATGCCATAGTCCTCTTTCCTCCGTCCCATCAGGATTCTGGGCACACACACATGTATGCCCAGTGTTTTTTTGTTTGTTTGTTTTTTGTTTTTTTTTTCAAGCCACCAGGACCATAATTCAAGCCATGGTTGGCCGTGTGGGATTAGGCTCCCTGTGCACAGGGTTTAACTGCTACACTACAGGGGCAACCCACATAGATAACCTTATTACCCCTCACTTTGCAGATTAGAAAGAAAACATGGATTTTAGAGAAAATAAGTCATTGCTGAGATCACACAGTTAGAGAGGGTTGAAGCTGGAATTCTAACCCAGGTCTGTTAAGCCTCAGACCCTGTGTTCTTAAACAGTGCTCTGTATACCCAAAGTAGCTGTAAGCAATTACATTCATTCATTCAGTTCCTTGGAGTCATAAAACAAGCAGGAACATGTGATTTAATATTGTTTATTCACCAAAGCACTTACTGACCACTATCATCCAGAAATCTTTGGAGGAAATAAAAGAAATCCTCAGAGAGCTGCCCTTCTGGTCACTGGCCTCTCAGATAAACAGGGAGATTTAGAACAAAGCAGTGATGAAGGGGGTGGGTATAAGTGCTCAGTCATCATGAGGATGGTATGAAGAGTGGGCGTGAAGGTGCCAGGCCATGGTCAGCCATGCACGGTGGAAGTGTGAGCAGAAGTGATTGCATGACAGTTTGTGGGTACTACAGTAAAATAAACACATTTAACTTACAGGCGACTCTAAAAAGATACCAGGCAGAACACAGGAATAAACTAGATTCTTTGGAGAAATCTCAAGCTGAGTTGAAGAAAATTAGGAGGAAAAGTCAAGGAGGACGAAACGCATTAAAATACGAACACAAAGAAATTGAGGTGAGCTTTTTTGGCACTGTTTTATTTTCTTTTGTTGTTGATAGTTTGTATAGTTTAACAGGAGGCTTCCTTACCTCAGTCAGTCTATACTTCACTCACTGTTACACTACTGTTGAAGTAGCATTTTTACTTAGACCCAGCTGAAGACTGCCATTTTCTAGAGTTAGGAATAAATCAGTGGCCTCCCAAAAACCTCGGCATTTTCTTCTGACTCAGGGAAGAGAAAGGACTCTCCATGATTAGCATTACTGTCCTCAATTTTACAGATGGGCAAGAGGTTTAGGTTAAGTCATATGGACTAACCTTGACCAGTTAAGGGATTTGAACTTGGAACTTTGTTTCCAAAGCCTACAGCGTTTTCCAGTAGAATGCAATCATATCTTTGGAGTACAAAGTAATAGTTTATGCACATTACCTAGTGGGAAGGTAAAGCCTTTGGCAACTTCTCCACATAGGAATCAAGGATCTTATGAGAATGATGGTATCCACTCAGGTCAAAGGACAGCTTCATCTAATGTTTATCTGCATTGAGTGTTTACTCTATTATCAAAATAAACCAAGTGTAAAGGTGGCAGAGGATAAATGTCAGGTCATGCAGCTATCTGATGCCTCACATCATACTTGTATAATTGTTATTTGTTTTCCTAGTATGTAGAGACTGTTACTTCTCGCCAGAGTGAAATCCAGAAATTCATTGCAGATGGTTGCAAAGAAGCTCTACTTGAAGAGAAAAGGCATGTCTGCTTTCTGATTGACAAACACTGTAGCTTTGCAAACCACATACATTATTATCACTTACAGGTAGGTGTGATAGCAGATTTCATTGAGTCTTTAATCCCTTTATTTCATATTTAAATGCTCTTAGCATGCTTTGCCTTCCATATGTGCTCGATATAAAGCAATGGACCTATTTTGCCAAGGAGAACATTCCAAAGGCCAGGTTTTGGTCTAACACTAACATGTGAACTTACAGAAATCCAGATGAAATGATCAAATGTCTGCCTATATTTAATTAACATAGTAACAGAGCCAATGTATACCCCGCATATAACAATACCTTATAACTGAGAAAAGCACCTTTTTCCTTTTCTCACCTACAAATTGGCTTTCTCTGATGGGTCCTCAGCATCAGGGTCTTTACTAGAACCATAGGGCGAGACCTGGTCAGCCCCAGGGCCTCCTTTCCTGGTGGTGTGAGATGCTCACCTTGTGGCTTTGTGTAAAGGGGTCACTTGCAGTTCTATCCCAGGCCACAGACCCCTGTTCACATCCATCAGGACAGTTGGTCTGTGTCACTTGTTCACTCCTCTTTATTCATTCATGATCCCTTCAACTGAATGACTTTCTCACCTCTCTTCTAGCACCTGAGATCAGATTCCCAGGAATCATTACACAATGTGTTATATTTCCTTTCCTCTTATTTTTTAAAGACTTAATTTTTATTTATTCATTCATTTTAATTTGACCAGAGAGAGGGAAAGCAAGAAAGCAAGCCACCAGGTACAGGATTCAAAACACTGTCAGCCATGTAGGAGTGTCCAGCACCTTAACCACCATGCCACTTGCTGGTTCCTTCTTTTTTTAAATTTTTTAATTTTAGTTCTATTGGGCCTATGTAACAGTTCAAAACTAACACTAATTGAGGTCAAATATTCATCATTGTTCATAATTAACTAAAGTCGAGTGGTCCAAAATATGAGAAGGTTTGCCAAAGCTTGAGTGTAAGTCAACCTCCTCTTTTTTTTTTTTTTTTTTTTTTTGCTTTTTTTTCCCTAAGGGGAAAATAGTTTGACCTTATATGTATATGTTATATATTCTATAAAGTTCTTGAAATTTTAAGACATATTTAGCTGCTTAACCTAAATACTTAAAATCTAAAATTGTTACATCAAAAAAATGTCTTACTAGATGAGCTCTTGTCAACAGGGCATCAGTACTAGTTCAGCATTGTTGAGCTAACTTTAGAAATTTCTGTTTCCATGGTGAGGGCAGATAGAGATGGACAAAAGCTGCCTTGCCGCTATCTTCCTATGTCCATGCCCCACCATCAGGCAACCTGGTTTGTTTTCAGAGAACTCTAACTGTGGGCCAAGTCCTTCTTAGACTTAACTTTGGGTCCCAGTTGTGGTTTATAAAGAGACAAAAAAACAAGTTTCTTTGACAACCTGTACCTCAGAATCACTTTGTCTTCCCTTACCCCAGCTAAAGCATCCCAGCCCTTTCAGTGGCTCTTAGATGAAGCACGTTCATGCAATCGGTCCATGGTGTGTCATTGCCCCTGTGTGTCAGGGGGATAGTAAGGGACGAGGGTGCTATTAGGGGAGGACTTTGCCCTCCCCTGGGATACATATCAGCACTTCCAGACACTCTTAATAAAGTCTGAGCAGAAGGGGTCTGACTGCCATCGCAAAGGCCACCCCACTTAACTTTTCTAACCAGATTGCTCCCTTCGAAAAGGGATTTCTGAAAGACTTTGGGAAACTTCCTTGAGTCCAGTAGCCAGAAGCAGAGCCAGGTTTATGGGAGCAAAACACCTCTAACTAAGCCTCCAGGCCTTTGGGACTTATCTCTGCCTCATCTCTACAGTCTAACTCTTGCCAGGCCTCAGTCAGCCTATGGCAAGGGCATCCCTCAGCACTGCCTACCACTCTCCCTGCCTGTGTCCTCTTATCCCATGCGTCTTCCAAGGACAGACTCTGATTCACTTGTCAGTCTGCTCTGGCCTATCACCTGCATTGGAGGTGCTGCTTTTAAGAGGACAAAAAGGAAGAAGAAAGTGGAAGATGCTTTCTGGGGCCATCTGAAGAATAGTGGAGATCATACAGCATCATTGCTCAACTCTCCCCTTTTAGTTTTTGACAAACTTACAATCTCCATATTAGCCTTACCTATGTGTTAAGACTAACACTGAGGGAACATGTAAATCTCTTTAGAGCCAGAGCCTACCTCACTTTCAGCAAATTAGACAAAGCAGACGATCCCAAATTAGATGCACACAGAGCTCCTGCCCTTCTGGTGGTATTTATTATCAATGGTAGCCCATGATGTCATTTTTGTTAGCTCTTCAACCAGCGTATCTTTGTCTTTGGTTTCTTTTGGGTTTATAGTCTGCAGAATTACTTAATTCCAAACTGCCTAGATGGCAGGAAACCTGTGGTGATGCCACCAAAGTACCGGAGAAAATCATGAACATGATAGAAGAAATAAAGACTCCAGCCTCTACGCCAGTGTCCGGAACACCTCAGCCTTCATCCATGATCGAGAGAAGCAACATGGGTGGCAAGGATTATGACACCCTTTCTAAATATTCATCAAAGATGCCCCCAGCTCCTTCAGCCAAAGCATATACCAGTCCTTTGATTGATATGTTTAATAACCCAGCAACAACAGTTGCCAGCCTTCACCCATGATCGAGAGAAGCAACATGGTAGGAATGAACTCTGTACAAGATCTCGAGTGTGTGTTGTCTGATAGGATTTGGGCCAGATTTGCCGGGGCCAAGGATGCTTTATTTAAAGGAACCTCTGACCTCGACTTTTCTCAGCTTTATCCCCTTGCCTTCAGGTTTGGAATTAACTGTGCAGATGTTTTGTACCGTGCTTAATGCCATTACCTTTGTAAGTTTATTCCTAATGAAGGAAGTATAGGTGTCTTAATGAAAACTGGTGCTATTCGTTGCAATGTAAGGCAAAGAGTAGTCAAAGTGTTCCAGGTACTGAATTCATACACTGCAGTCTACTGTTCTTTGAAGCTGGGCTTTGTCACTTTTCACCAACACACGTGGAGATTGGGATCCAGCAGGTATTGTGACCACACCCTGCCTGTCCACTTAAAGCCCTCTAAAATGACCAGCTGACTACCTACAAAGCAGATCTATAACACAAGGGGAATTAGGAGAAAGTGCCATCAGTGCACTAGGAACACTGAATGAGTCTCTAGAAATCAAACCAGATCGGTGTGTGGAAAGCGAAAGCAGGAGACCTCGGCCCCCTGCACACGCAGGGCAAGACTGCCGAGGAGTGTGGGGAGTATGCGCCACCCCTGGGAGCTGGGAGCTGGGAGCTCAGCATGTGGATATGTGAAGTAGAAAAAGACCTGTAGCTGGTTGGGGGGCTGGTCATTCCCCACTTGTGCTAGAGAACAGGCAGCATGGACTCCTTCCAGAAGCCAAACAGCGTATCTGGACTGAGAGGAGGGCCCTCTCCCCACCAACATGACGATGGGTTGTCTCTAGTCATGAAAACAAGTGAAATTCATATACAATAAAAAGAATGTATACACTACAAAGGGACGGTCATAAAGTACAGACACCCAGGAGTCACTGAGTAAGTGAAGAAAACCAATAGTATAAAAAGAGACACCAAACAAACAAGCAAAACTGGCATCACTAACATTGGAGACAACGGAGTAGGCTGGCAGAGCAGAAATCTATAGAATGAGATGAAGAAGAAGAATCTACTAGAAATCTTGCATATTAAAAACTGGGTTATTGGGGCCAGCAGGTGGCATGGTGGTTAGGGCGACGATTCCCACATGGCCAACCACAGTTCGAGTCCCAGATCCAGTGGCTTGAAACTCATGCTGGGCACATGTGCGTGCATGCATGCCCAAAATCCCAAGAGGAGAATGGAGGAGAAAGAATTCCAGCAAGGCCAGCACCCCTGGAAGGGTGTTTTCTCACTTTCCCTCTCTCTCTATCTCTCCTCACCTACAAGTACACTTGTCCTATGGCAAAAACTTGGGAAGAAAAAATAAATTAATTAAAGTGGGTTATTACAGTTCAAGTGAGACATTTAGTATTTGCTTCAAAATAATCCAAGCATGGTCTAGGTATAGGGACAAAGATATGCATGAAGCAAGATTGGCCATGAAGTGATAATTATTGAAGCTAGCTGTTAAGTACCTGAAGATGTACTATGCTATTCTCTCTTACTTTTGTATGTTTGAAACATTTGTAAAATAAAATTTTAATTGGATTTTTCTCCCCAACCCCCACCCTCCCAAAAGAAAAAAAACAATAGGTAGAGTGGAACTACTTGGAAAACTAAGCCAAAGTACTCCCCCCAAGCACAGTACAAAAATAGAAAAAGGATTAAAAAAAAAAAATACTACAGCCAGAAGATAAGTAAACGCTACCCAGATCTCAAATTCAGCTGCTCTGAACCAAACAACCAATTTCTTCACACTAAGCCCGCTTTTCCCAGGCTTGCCCATCCAGACATGGCTCCTTCTGTCTTCCTGTAGCTCAGACATAAACTGTCAACCAACTTCCCTAATCCTCCACCTCCACAATCTTCCATTCTGTTGTATCCTATTGTTTGCACTTTCAAAGCATATCCCAAGCCTAACCATTCTCACTCCCTCCTCTCTTCTTTATTCTAATCCTAGCCCTTGCAGATATACTGGTAGTGGTCTTTAACATAGTGCCCAGAGGGATCTTGGACAAATGGAGAAAACAAAACAAAGCAAAGCAAAGCAAAGCAAAAAAAAAAAAAACCACTGATAGGGGTTTAGGTCAGTTTTAGAATGTTAAGGACAAAGAGAAAATTCTAAGAACCTACAGAGAGGGAAAAAATTACGCTAACTGCTGGTTCCCGTGCATCCTAAATTCTGTGGAAAAATTATTTTGAATGTAGATTTTTTTTTTTTAATGGAGACGTTTTTGCTATAGGGCGCATATGCTCGCCAGACAGACAGAGAGAGACAGAAAGCGAGGAAATCACCCCCCAGGGGGGATGGCCATGCCACAATCCCTTCTCCTCCATTCTCCTCTTGGGATCTTGAGCACGCACACACACGCGCCTGGCATGAGTTTAAGCTACCAGGTCCAGAACTTGAACCACAGTCGACTACATGGGAGTCCAGCAACAGAGCCATTACGCTAACTGCTGGTCCCTTGAATGTAGAATTTTATAGCCAAGCAGCACTTGAGAGGGAGCCTGTCTTCTATAGAGACAAAAAATGGATTGGTGGTTGCTGGGGAGGAAAGTAACTCCTTTTAATTATTTTATTTTTTTTAAAAGACAGTGAAGACAAATGGAAAACAAAAAGAGTGTGATACTCGGGAACCAGCAGTTAGCGTAATGGCTATGTCGCTGGACTCCCATGTAGTCGACTGTGGTTCGCGTCCCAGACCCAGTGGCTTAAAACTCATGCCGGGCGCATGTGCGTGCGTGCCCAAGATCCCGAGAGGAGAATGGAGGAGAAGGGATTGTGGCGTGACCATCCCCCCTGGGGGTGATTTCTCGCTTTCTGTCTCTATGTCTCTCTCTCTCTGTGTGGCGAGCTCACGTGCCCTATAGCAAAAACCTCTTCAAAAAAAAAAGAGTGTGATACTCAAAATAATTCAAAGTGGGGCATTGCCCTACAAATGAGAATTTGGGGAAGAGAGTGGAATTTAAAGTATGTGATACAAGATAGCCCTAAAGATCTGTATACTTCCATTGCTGTGTTATGCTAATGTAAGATTAATACAGAATCTTTTCACAGGGTGGCAAGGATTATGACACCCTTTCTAAATATTCATCAAAGATGCCCCCAGCTCCTTCAGCCAAAGCATATACCAGTCCTTTGATTGATATGTTTAATAACCCAGCAACAACAGTTGCACAGACGTCAGAAAGGATAAATAATTCAACAGGTAAGAGATTTAGTTTCATTTCTTTTTATAGATTCCTTTTTAGATTTTTAAAGAATAATTTATAAAATATTTTTGATACATGTATTGTGAGGTAAAAGTAAACAAACAGGTAGGGTAAATACATTCAGCCCTGGCTTACACCTCAAAACAAATAAAGTCCAGACTAGAAGACATTATGATAAGTGACACTTGCCTTTAGCATATATTAAGTTTATATACTGGTTAATGTTTATATCAAATAAACATAACTATTGAGAGGCATTATATTTTAAAAACTAATGGGATAGAATATACCTAGTTGTTCCGTATTTGATGGCAATTGTAATAAATTTTCTTTCTTTTTTTTTTTTATTTAAAAAGGGTACATCTGCTTGCTAGAGGGAGAGAAAGAAAGCAACCCCCATGGGGAGTGGTCATGCTGCAAGCCCTTCTCCTCCATTTCTTCCCTCCTTTCAGAATTTTAGGCACGTGTACACATGCACCTGGTGTGTTTTTCAAGCCTCCAGCTCCAGGACTTGAACCACACAGTCAGCCATGTGAGATCAAACCACTTTAACCACCAGGCTATGGACTGGCCCTAAAAATATCTTTTTCAATTAAACAAACTTAAGTTCACGTGACAAGGTTATTAATCCTACCAGTAGACTTAGTTTGAACTTAAATCAGCATTTTTCATCTCTCACAGAGTACCTCACACTTCCTGGAAATGTTAAGTTCAAACTACTTAAATTTCTTAACCTTGTTCACTATATTTCAATAAATCGTTTGCAGACATTTCAGGCTGTTTCACTGGCTAGGCTCTACTCTCCACATATACTCTTTGGCACCCAGGACCCTTGAGGCCAGTGTTGTAGCATTTAACCTGTCTGTGTGGGGTGGCTCCCAGGCCCTTTGAGAAGGTGTACTGCACAGAGCCCACAGATTATAGCATTTCAAGCCACTGGGCAAAAAATGAGATTTCCAGAATGTTGACTAGGATTGTTTGGCAGAGGAAATGATAGTCTGTAGTCAGTTGCCTCTGAAGGAAGTACAAGGATATTTCAAAAATTGGTGGAAAAATGAGTACAAATTTATTTTGGTATGGAAAGTTTTTGAAATCTTTGTATAGTTTTTTAGGTTTTGAAAATTTTTTAATTCATGATAGAGTGTGTGTACACACACGAGAGAGAAAGATGAGCACCATCCGAAGGGTCTAGTTATGCCATGAGCCCCTTCCTCTCGACTCCCAGTTCTCCAGCTCATCAGATCTTGGGCCCTCATTTGTTTCAGGCTGACCAGGCCTAGAATTTGAACCCTGGTTATGATGTGGGGTGCAGCTTCTCCTAAGCAGCACGTTGCTATTGTGCCATCGAACTGGCCCCATGCATGCTTTTTTTTATAATACACATTTTACATGATCTTTTTGAAGAACCCTCATACTATGACAATATAAGGTTAAATTATAAAGACTGTGCAGTCCAGTCATTCAAACCATTCTGGTTCTTATTGGTAAAAGCCAAATGAAGGTTGCTGGTTTCTGTTACAACTGAGGTAGAGAGTGGCATGGTAAGGAGATAGTCAAATTTATATTACTAAGAATTTGCAAGACAGCTGGCTCTGTAGTACAGTGGTTAAACGCTGTATATACAGAGCTAAATTCCATGTGGCAGACTGCATCTTGAGTCCTGGCCTCAGCTGCTTGAAAAACAGCCAGTGTGCCCAAACTTCTGAGAGGCTGAGAAGGAATTGTGGCATGGCCATACCTCACTGGGAAGTGTTTTCTTTCTTTCTCATGTGTTATCTCTCTGGCAAGTGCATGTACCCTCTAGAAACTTTAAAATATATATTTTTGCAAGAATAAAGAAGAAAGGTCTTCCATTGTTTTAAATTAACTACACTAGATCTATTACTAGGCTAACAAAATTTGAGGAAGAAAAATCTCTAAACTGATTTTTTTCTGGACTGTCAATATCAGCCTGTGTTTGAACTGGGCGTGAACTGAGTGGGCAGTGCTGAAGGAGAGGTTGAGGGGCTAGCCTGCCTACCTGCGCACTGTGTGGTCTCAGCCAGTCACAGAGCTCAGTGATTGCAGTGCCTTCCTCAGGAGACCAGGCGACCTGGTGGCCGTAGGGCTGTGAGACCCAACTGGCACTTGGTGAGGGGATTCATCATCGCCTCATCCTCTATACTCAGGGATAAGAAGTTGAGCTACAGCAAGACCATCTGCATTTCCAACTTTTCTTTGTGGCACAGGAAGTTGTCAGTTGAGTTGGAGCTGTTGGCTCAGTGTGCCTTCATGGTCCAAATTAAGCAAGCAAGGGAAGGAAACTCGGCAGACCTCTGCTCTTGGCAGAGTGGGAATGCAGATGAAGGCCAGCACACACTGCAGCATGTCCTCCTTTGCACTGTGAAAGCCCAGGGGCCATGGTCTGCCTCTGCTTCCTCCCAGGCCCTGTCCCATTTAAGCAAAAACAAAGGCGTGGAAATAGGACATGATGAAAATCTCCATATGACTGTGTTGGGAAAATGAGAATGGATGGTTTTCTGGGATTTGTTCATTGAACTTGCATGGGGATTAACATTCTCTGAAAAGCTATTACTAGTACATTCATTCTAACAGATACCTCGGAAGATCCCAGTTTACAGCGATCTGTTTCAGTTGCAACTGGACTGAACATGATGAAGAAGCAGAAAGTAAAGACCATTTTTCCACATACTGCTGGTACCAACAAGACGCTCCTCAGCTTTGCACAGGGAGATGTCATCACGCTGCTCATCCCTGAGGAGAAGGATGGCTGGCTTTACGGAGAGCATGACACCACCAAAGCGTGAGGCATAGTGTGACTGCGAAACCTTGTTTGTCTTGTGCACATATTAGCATTTTAGCCAAAATTAAGTATATGGTTTAGTTACCTGGCTATTTTCTGTATGCCTGGGCATATGTAGACAATGAATGTGCATAGTTAATTAGGTATACGGAGTCACCTCTGCATGTAGTTTAAACATTCTTTGCTTTTTTAAAAAATGTAGTCTCAAAGATAATCTGCATATCAGATATATGAAGTGTCTCCAAAAAGCTCACTCAAAATGCATACTGTGGAAAAAACTGGGGCCAGCAGGTAGCGTGGAGGTTAGAGCAGCTAGATCCCACCTGACTTACTGTGCCATTCAAGTCCTAGACCTGGTGGCTTGAAAATCATGCCAGGCACGTGAGCATGTGTGCCTGAAATTCTGAGAGGAGAATGGAGAAGGGATTGCAGCGTGGCCATCCCTCCAGGAGGTGATTTCTTACCTTCCCTCTCCTCTCCCTCGGTCTCTGCCTCTCTCTCTCTCTCATGAGCACATGTGCCCTATAACAAAACTAAAAAATGAAAAAGAAAAAACATGAACTTAAATTTTTTTGCACAAAAATAGATTTGTACTTTCATTCCATTTTTTTTCACAAGCCTTACTATAACTAAGTCAATTTTCTGTGTAGATTATTCAAGTGCATGAAATAAAACCAATACAAAAAATAAAAAGGTAATCCAAATAAAATTAATGTTACATATTAAATATTGTATATGTATATGAGAGAGAGATATATTTATTCATAAAAGCCTTCATTTCATCCAGTCCACATGTGGACCTATCCGGTAAAAGTGGACCAGTCTGCCCCTGAAGTATCATCAGGATAGTCTCAAGTTGGATTTTCTGTTCACTTGTTGACTGCTTTCTCACTCTTCATCTGCAGGAGAGGTTGGTTCCCATCATCATATACAAAGTTGCTAGAAGAAAGTGCACAGGAAACAGTGACTCTGCCTATGCCAAGGTAGTATATGAATGTGGCTCCCATCTTTCCATAACAGAAAACTCACCTCTGACCTGATGTTTTCAGGCTTATCAGAATTACCGAGATAAGTAGCAAAACCCAGATCTTGTGGAATGGTCAGGAATTGCTGCTTCACAGTTGTCTCTGTTGTCTGCTTTCACTCTCCCCACCATCGACCGGTTGTTTCTCTTCTTTGTCTTACTTATTTAACCTTTTTTTTTGGAGAGGTTTTTGCTATAGGGCATGTGCGCTTGCCAGATACAGAGAGAGAGAGAGACAGAGAGACAGAAAGCGAGAAATCACCCCCCAGGGGGGATGGCCACGCTGCAATCCCTTCTCCTCCATTCTCCTCTTGGGATCTTGGGCACGCACGCACACGCGCCTGGCATGAGTTTAAGCCACCGAGTCCGGGACTCGAACCGTGGTCGACTACGTGGGAGTCCAGTGACATAATCATTACACTAACTGCTGGTCCCCTATTTTCTAAAATGTTCTCTGCCTTGGTTTTTTGACTGTGCTCTATTTGTTTTCTAGTCTCCTCTGCAGGGCCCTCTTCTGTCCATTGTGTAACCATTGGTGTTCCTCAAAGATCTCTCCCCAGTCCTTTTGCGTTGTTTGTACCCCTTGGGCCATCTCCTCCACTCCCATGGCCTAAACTGCACCACTGGGTTTCAGTTAGCATGTCTATGCTGATAACCCCCAAATCTATATGCTGGTCCAGATTCCAGTAACAATAATAAAAACAATTGCTTAGTCCAAGTACTTTGCAACATTGAATAACTCATTTAATTCTCAAACAACCCTGTGAAGCGGATCCCCATTTTAAAATCTGAGGAAACAAGCCCAGCTACAGTGGCACAGGTGGTCCAGTGTTGCTACGCGGTACTGGAGCCACACCAAAGGCCCAGGTTCAAATCCAGGTCAACCTGAACACACCAGGTGTACCTGTGTGTACCCACAATCCTGGCAGGCTAAGAGGCCGGGGCCTGGATCACAGCATGGTTAGACCTGGTCAGGTACCTGCCTCTCTCACCCTACCCCCTCGTGTGTGAAATAAATAAAAATGAACTTTAAAATGTGAGAAAACTGGGGCCAGCAGATGGCGTACCAGTTATATCACTGGACATCCATGTGATTGACCACAGTTCGAGTCCTGGGCCTGATGACTTCAAAATCATGCCAGGCGCGTGTGCACGTGTTCCCAAGATCCCAGGAGATTAGAGGAGACGGAATTGCAGTGTGGCCATCCCCCTACAAGGGGTGATTTCTCACTTTCCCCCTCTCTCTTTCTCTTTCCAGTGAGCATACAACCCTAAGGCAAAAACCTCTTAAAAACAAAAAAAAAGTGAGAAAGCTGAGGCACAGAAAGGTTTCAGAATTTGCTCAAGGACACACAGCTGGATATTTATATGTGTCCCGTGGGCCCTCAGAAATGACATGTCCAAATTGATATGGTCATATTTACCCTAAGCTACCTCAAAAAAACCCATAGCCTATTCAGCTGTTCAGGCAGACCCTGTAACACCACACCCACCATCTCCCAGGTCCTCCTATTACACCTGTTCGTTGTCTCATGACACCATCTGTGTAGCTTCATCCCTTGCAGCAGAACTAGAATGCCAAATTAAAGCTTGGGCCAGCAGGTGGCATGGTGGTTAGGGTCACTGGACCTCCACATGGCCTACCCACATGGCCTACCCACATGGCCTACCACGGTTCTAATTCCAGACCTGGCAGCTTGCTTTCTCACTTTTTTTCTTTCTCTCTCTCTCTCTGTCCCTCTCTGGTCAAATTAAAATAAGTGAATAAATAAATTAAGATAGGGACCAGCAGGTGGTGTAATATCTACATCACCTGACTCCCATGTAGTCGACCGTGGTTCACGTCCCAGACCCAGTCGCTTAAATTCATGCCAGGCACATGTGCGTGCGTGCCCAGGATCCCGAGAAGAGAATGGAGGAGAAGGGATTGCAGCGTGGCCATCCCCCTGGGGGGGTAATTTCTCACTTTCTATCTCTTGTTTCTGTCAAGCACACGTGCCCTACAGCAAAAATCTCTCAGAAAAATTAATTAATTAATAAGATAAATAAAGTTAAATCAAATAATTCTTTAAAAAAAAGAAATTAAAGCTTATGTACTGTTTTTAGGGTGTTCTTAAAAAACTTTTTAAGAGTTTTAAGTTTGCTAAGGTTTTTACAACAGTCTTCATTTTCTTGTTATACTTAGTTAAATTAATTAAGAGCCAGCCCCTAATTAACCTACTTTTCCTCGCTTTTTTTTTTGTCATATCATTTAAAGAATTTTGAGTGTGCATTACAACCAGCAAAGACATTACCGAGTTTTACATGGGCATAGGTGTAGGTCGTGTGTCTGTGTTGTAATCCCCTCCTCCCTTGGTCATGGGGCAGTTAGGATGTGTGGGGTTCAGTGGCAGGACCTTATCTAACTTGTAGTCTGTAATTCTGGGTTTGGAGCCCTGCGCCTGTGAGGAGTGTCAGCACCGTGAACTTAGCCGAAAAGAGCAGCGTCGTCATCCCCCCACCCGACTACCTGGAGTGCCTGTCCATGGGAGCAGCTGCAGAGAAGAAGGTCGATGTCACCAAAAATACTTCTACTTTTAAAGCACCAGTGTCCAAACCAGAAGCCACATCTCCTGTGAGTAGAGCCTCCGTGGAGCGTCCTGTGTATAGGACTCGGGCTGCCGTTCCCATCTTAATCACCTTGCTCTGCTCCTCTCTATACAGAGGAGGCGTCCCCAGTATTTGGGGGGTGGGAGAGGTGTTCTTCATTCCTCCTGATCCCTTTTTCTTTAACCTCTATAACCCTTTCATTTTTACTTTGTTTTTTTCAATGACAGTTGACACACAGTAAATCCATAGTTTGCTAGATTTTATTAAGTTTTTAATCCCTCTTCACCTTTAGTCCTGGCTGCCGCCTTTTAATCATCTGACCACCTTCATTTTCTTCCATTCTTACATTGTTTTGTGAAGGGAGGCCTAAGGCTAAAAGCAGTAACCTCGTCTATCTTCACAACACATTTACTTGTACCAGGCTCTGTGTCAACAGTGTATGTTATTACCTTTAGCCCTGAAAGAAGGACCACAGAGGATGTGGTCACACGAGCCATGTCCTTGCTTGTGTTGAGTGCCAGGTTCTAGTGCAGGCACTACAGAGACAGGTAAGCAGCAGGTTCTGGCTCCTCACGGACTTACATCCTAATGACAGGAAGCAGAAAACAAAAATGAATGAAAGCATTAAAGATAAAAAGCCATGCAGAGAATTAAAACATGTGATAGTGGGATGGGGTAATGATTTGAAGGGATGTCATGGGTATGCCCCTGAATCAAGACCTGAGAGGGAAACAAAGACACAGCACTGGGCAGGGGGCCAGCTGGGTGCCTGCACCACTCCAGGAGCTGGAACAGCCCAGGAGCTGTCTTGATTGAAGGTAGGGGAGCCAGATTTCTGGACACCTGAACATAAGCCAGCCCAGTTCCTGAGGACCGTTGACAGCCAGGGCCGTGCGCCTGCCACAAGTTTATCCCTTGGTCCTGGAGAGGATGGGGCATACCACAACAGTGTCTACAGCAGTGGCCTTCTCTAAGGAGGTGACATTTAAGCTGAGACTAAATGACAAGGATCCAGCTAGGGCAGCCCATGGTACAGTGGTTAAGGAGGCTGGATCCCATATGGCTGACTGTATGGTTAGAATCCTGGGCCTGTTTGTTTGAGAAACATTCTGGGTACTTACTGGTATATGCTCAAAATCCCTAAAGGAAAGAGACATGGAGGAAAAGCATCCTCTATGGTGGGTGCTTTCTCTGTCTCTCTCCAGCAAGTACCCTCTGGCAAACTTTTTTAAAAACAGAATTGGGGGACCAGCAGTTAGCGTGATGGCTATATCGCTGAACTCTCATGTTGTCGACCGCGGTTCAAGTCCTGGACCCAGTGGCTTAAACTCATGCCCGGCATGTGTGCGTGCATGCTCAAGATCCCAAGAGGAGAATGGAGAAGGGGTCATGGTGTGGCCATCCTTCCTGGGGGGTGATTTCTCGCTTTCTGTCTCTCAGTCTCTCTCTGTTTCTGGCGAGCGCATGCGCCCTATAGCAAAAACCTCTCCCCCAAAAAAGAAAACAGAATGGGGGCCAGCCAGCAGATTGTGTGGTAGTTAAAGGTGCTGGATTCCCAAATGGCCAACCACAGTTTGAGTCCTGGACCTGGCGGCTTCCTTTCTTGCTTGCTCTCTCTCTCTCTTTTTAAAGTTCTATGAGTGAGAGCCACAGAAAAAAAGAGGGAGAGATGCAGCTCCCTGAGTAGGGTCCTGATGCTGCAACCCAGCCCCAGCCTCAGCCCGTCCCGATCACGGGAGACGGAATTGCAGTGTGGCCATCCCCCTACAAGGGGTGATTTCTCACTTTCCCCCTCTCTCTTTCTCTTTCCAGTGAGCATACAACCCTAAGGCAAAAACCTCTTAAAAACAAAAAAAAAGTGAGAAAGCTGAGGCACAGAAAGGTTTCAGAATTTGCTCAAGGACACACAGCTGGATATTTATATGTGTCCCGTGGGCCCTCAGAAATGACATGTCCAAATTGATATGGTCATATTTACCCTAAGCTACCTCAAAAAAACCCATAGCCTATTCAGCTGTTCAGGCAGACCCTGTAACACCACACCCACCATCTCCCAGGTCCTCCTATTACACCTGTTCGTTGTCTCATGACACCATCTGTGTAGCTTCATCCCTTGCAGCAGAACTAGAATGCCAAATTAAAGCTTGGGCCAGCAGGTGGCATGGTGGTTAGGGGCACTGGAACCCCACATGGCCTACCCACATGGCCTACCACGGTTCTAATTCCAGACCTGGCAGCCTGCTTTCTCACTTTTTTTCTTTCTCTCTCTCTCTCTGTCCCTCTCTGGTCAAATTAAAATAAGTGAATAAATAAATTAAGATAGGGACCAGCAGGTGGTGTAATATCTACATCACCTGACTCCCATGTAGTCGACCGTGGTTCACGTCCCAATCCCAGTGGCTTAAATTCATGCCAGGCACATGTGCGTGCGTGCCCAGGATCCCGAGAAGAGAATGGAGGAGAAGGGATTGCAGCGTGGCCATCCCCCTGGGGGGGTAATTTCTCACTTTCTATCTCTTGTTTCTGTCAAGCACACGTGCCCTACAGCAAAAATCTCTCAGAAAAATTAATTAATTAATAAGATAAATAAAGTTAAATCAAATAATTCTTTAAAAAAAAGAAATTAAAGCTTATGTACTGTTTTTAGGGTGTTCTTAAAAAACTTTTTAAGAGTTTTAAGTTTGCTAAGGTTTTTACAACAGTCTTCATTTTTTTGTTATACTTAGTTAAATTAATTAAGAGCCAGCCCCTAATTAACCTACTTTTCCTCGCTTTTTTTTTTGTCATATCATTTAAAGAATTTTGAGTGTGCATTACAACCAGCAAAGACATTACCGAGTTTTACATGGGCATAGGTGTAGGTCGTGTGTCTGTGTTGTAATCCCCTCCTCCCTTGGTCATGGGGCAGTTAGGATGTGTGGGGTTCAGTGGCAGGACCTTATCTAACTTGTAGTCTGTAATTCTGGGTTTGGAGCCCTGCGCCTGTGAGGAGTGTCAGCACCGTGAACTTAGCCGAAAAGAGCAGCGTCGTCATCCCCCCACCCGACTACCTGGAGTGCCTGTCCATGGGAGCAGCTGCAGAGAAGAGGGTCAATGTCACCAAAAATACCTCTACTTTTAAAGCACCAGTGTCCAAACCAGAAGCCACATCTCCTGTGAGTAGAGCCTCCGTGGAGCGTCCTGTGTATAGGACTCGGGCTGCCGTTCCCATCTTAATCACCTTGCTCTGCTCCTCTCTATACAGAGGAGGCGTCCCCAGTATTTGGGGGGTGGGAGAGGTGTTCTTCATTCCTCCTGATCCCTTTTTCTTTAACCTCTATAACCCTTTCATTTTTACTTTGTTTTTTTCAATGACAGTTGACACACAGTAAATCCATAGTTTGCTAGATTTTATTAAGTTTTTAATCCCTCTTCACCTTTAGTCCTGGCTGCCGCCTTTTAATCATCTGACCACCTTCATTTTCTTCCATTCTTACATTGTTTTGTGAAGGGAGGCCTAAGGCTAAAAGCAGTAACCTCGTCTATCTTCACAACACATTTACTTGTACCAGGCTCTGTGTCAACAGTGTATGTTATTACCTTTAGCCCTGAAAGAAGGACCACAGAGGATGTGGTCACACGAGCCATGTCCTTGCTTGTGTTGAGTGCCAGGTTCTAGTGCAGGCACTACAGAGACAGGTAAGCAGCAGGTTCTGGCTCCTCACGGACTTACATCCTAATGACAGGAAGCAGAAAACAAAAATGAATGAAAGCATTAAAGATAAAAAGCCATGCAGAGAATTAAAACATGTGATAGTGGGATGGGGTAATGATTTGAAGGGATGTCATGGGTATGCCCCTGAATCAAGACCTGAGAGGGAAACAAAGACACAGCACTGGGCAGGGGGCCAGCTGGGTGCCTGCACCACTCCAGGAGCTGGAACAGCCCAGGAGCTGTCTTGATTGAAGGTAGGGGAGCCAGATTTCTGGACACCTGAACATAAGCCAGCCCAGTTCCTGAGGACCGTTGACAGCCAGGGCCGTGCGCCTGCCACAAGTTTATCCCTTGGTCCTGGAGAGGATGGGGCATACCACAACAGTGTCTACAGCAGTGGCCTTCTCTAAGGAGGTGACATTTAAGCTGAGACTAAATGACAAGGATCCAGCTAGGGCAGCCCATGGTACAGTGGTTAAGGAGGCTGGATCCCATATGGCTGACTGTATGGTTAGAATCCTGGGCCTGTTTGTTTGAGAAACATTCTGGGTACTTACTGGTATATGCTCAAAATCCCTAAAGGAAAGAGACATGGAGGAAAAGCATCCTCTATGGTGGGTGCTTTCTCTGTCTCTCTCCAGCAAGTACCCTCTGGCAAACTTTTTTAAAAACAGAATTGGGGGACCAGCAGTTAGCGTGATGGCTATATCGCTGAACTCTCATGTTGTCGACCGCGGTTCAAGTCCTGGACCCAGTGGCTTAAACTCATGCCCGGCATGTGTGCGTGCATGCTCAAGATCCCAAGAGGAGAATGGAGAAGGGGTCATGGTGTGGCCATCCTTCCTGGGGGGTGATTTCTCGCTTTCTGTCTCTCAGTCTCTCTCTGTTTCTGGCGAGCGCATGCGCCCTATAGCAAAAACCTCTCCCCCAAAAAAGAAAACAGAATGGGGGCCAGCCAGCAGATTGTGTGGTAGTTAAAGGTGCTGGATTCCCAAATGGCCAACCACAGTTTGAGTCCTGGACCTGGCGGCTTCCTTTCTTGCTTGCTCTCTCTCTCTCTCTCTCTCTCTCTCTCTCTCTCTCTCTCCTCAAATTAAAATAATAATAACAAATGGAATTAAATAAATAAATACTTCTTTAAAAACAAAAGAATATGGGAGAGACCAGAAGATGGTGTAATGATTGTTATATCACTGGACTCCCACGTAGTCAACTGCAGTTTGAGTCCCAGACCCAGCGGCTTAAAATTCACACAGGGTATGTGTATGTTTGTGCCCAAAATCCTGAGAGGAGAATGGAGAAGAAGGGATTATGGCATGGCCATCTCCCTTGGGGTGGATTTCTCACTTTCTATCTCTGTCTCTGTCTCTCCAGCAAGCACACACACCCTATCACAAAAATCTCTCAAAAGAAAAATAGAATAGTGACCTCTATCTACCCTGAGTTGTAACAGTTGTCAGCTCATTTACCAATCTTTTTATGTCGCTACCCTACCCACTCCTGGTTCAATTTGAAACTAGTGCCAGACCTCAAATCATTTCTTCGTAAACACTAAGCAATAAGGCTTGTTTTGTTGATATAACCACAATACTAATATTCTATATTTAAATTTTAACAGTAGTTCCTGAACATCAAATAGTTACTTTCCAATTTCTGATTATCATTAAAAAATTGTTTTCAGTATAGTTTTGTTTTTGGGGTTTTTTTCCGATTTTTGCTATAGGGCATGTGCATTCACCAGGAAGAAACAGAAAAAAATGAAAAATCACCCTTGGGGTAAGGGTGGCTATGCTACAATCCCTTCTCTTCCATTCTCCTCTTGGGGTTTTGGGCACACATGCACATGCACCTAATGTGTTTTTGAAGCTGCTGTGTACAGGACTTGAACCACAGAGTCAGCTATTTGGGATCTAGCACCTGCTGGCCCTGTTTTAGTATAGTTTTAATCAGGATCCAAATAAGCTCTGTTAAGTTGTAGTTGGTCAATAAATCTCCTAAGTCTTTTTCTGTATATAGGTCTCCTATATTCTCTTTTTTAAAAATTTTTTTTTATTTCATTTTCTTTTATACATTCAATCACATTATTATTTGGCTTGCAAAATGGGTATTTCAACAGGTGAACATTTCTCCCTAGTACAGTTGATAAAACTACATCTTCAACAGATAATACCACATTTCTTTGTGCCATTAATGCTTTGCCTCCCTATTTTTCTTCTAAATGTCCTTCCTCAGGCCCTCCTCTTTCACACACACTATATCTGGTATTTACAATTATATACTGTGTTTCTGTATCCTTTAGTCAATTAGTTTCAGTCACAGAGTGTGGACATTCGGTATATATTAAGTGGGGACATACAATGCCTCTCCTTCATAGCCTGGC